GTTCTTGTTAGTTTTTATCTTTGTTTCAAAATTCTTAATAAAAATGTTATGAACAAAAATATTCTGAGATATTTGCCTTACGGAATTCATTCATAAATGGGGGCTGGAAATTCCTCCTGGAGTTTCCAAGATTCTGGCTCTACCCTAATACTAGCATTCAAGATGCCTTACTGCAATCCTCGCTTCCTTGATTTCATCCAACTGTGTGGGGCTTGACAGCTAGTTTCCGGGAATGTATGGGAACACTTCCAAACCTGGGAAAAGGTGAGGGGTCAGCAGAGTCAACTCTTGGGGAGGACCTGCTTGAAAACACTCCCGGGCCTTGTTACAGTTCCTTTCTGGAAGCTAGAAAATGCCTCTGCTGGGACTTGAGCCAGGAAAAGGGATGATCCATCCTCAGATCAAAGGGTGTTTCCGGCTAGCAAACAGCTAAGCAGAATCTCAATATTTCTTTCCTTTGATAGAGATCCTGCTTCCTGCTCTCTCTTTCCAACATTTTTCTAGGCAGGACTGTTCTACTTCTGGTTAAAAGCTAAGCATTGTATTTCGGTTAAACCGAGTATCTTCGGTTAAAGCTCAACCTGTTTCCACCTTGAATCATTTCAGCATGAAGGCCTTGTTAATTTCATCAGTGTTTATTCCCAGGTAATCATGCCTAACGCTGGAGTCCTACCTCATAAAATTAATAGATTTGGATCAGCACAGTGCTGCTTTTGAATGCCTGTCACTTATCACAAATAGTCAGCAACTCTGAATAAAGATACAGGGAGTCCTTGGGTTAAGAATGCCCAGGTTACAGACGACCCATAGTTAAGAATGGAGCCTATTGTAGCAAAATTCGAGTTAAATACTCAGTGGTTCGAGTTCATTACACAATGCTACTTATTCAGTATTATACAATAATACCTTGGGAACGGAACTCATTCTTAAACTGGGGACTACCTGTAGTATAAAATCAGGATGATAATCTCTAGCCAGAGTTTGAAATTTCCCTGTTCAGCAAACCACAGTTAGGTTTTGGCTCATGGTACATGTGTTTAAGTGCAAAGATTTATATGCAACTGATATATAAAAAGTCAGCAATCTATGACTCTGTATTTTTGGGCTAAACAATGGGCTGGTTCACATGTGATAATAAACCACTAGCTCTACTAAACATGATTAAATCACGATTTAATGCATTATACTAAGCTGTGGTTTGTTTATCCATGGTTGATTGCATAAACTATAAGCTTTTAGGGTTCCAAAACATACTAAGCCATAAGACATATGTATGCACACATTTATCAACTTTGATCAACTATTAATGGTTGCCAATGCCATTTTTCATTAAAATCTAAAGTAATATAAATTACTGAGCTATTATGTCTATTTAATTTATATTAACCTGAGTGTAAGTCCACTGTGACTCAAATATACTGTTAAATACATGTGATTAAAAACAATCCTAATCATATTTCCAGTTGACTAATTTTATCTACTGAAAAAAAAAGATAAAACAGATCAAATTAAAGTGCCATTTCTTTACTTCTTTTTTTTTTTTAAGTTGTGCTTACCAAACAGAAGTCAAATAAACATCTTAAACCACATCTCAGCCTGTTTACGGCAGTTTTTCCATGAGGTTCACATTAATGCCAAGGACTGTGTTGTATGCCAGCTTGGGTGGGTGGGAAGCACAGCCACGAAGCTACCCAGAAGATAGCAGACTTAGAGGATTGGTTACAATGCAGCCAAACTTGTTCCCCTTCTAAACTCATTTTGTGGATCCTGCTTGACCTCCTCTAAAAGGTGACAAAATTTGCTGGTGCTTGAAACCTGATTTCTGACCTTGTGAAATCAGTCCATGGTTCACAGCAGGACCAGAAAACCATTTATTTACTTGGTTTCCACAAAGGGCCAAGAACCGTATCTTTTAAAACAGTGTTGCTCAACCCTGGCAACTTGAAGATGTGTGGACTTCAACTCCCAGAATTCCCCAGCCAGCATGGCTGGCTGGGGAATTCTGGG